ACCTCCCCACGAGTCCGAACTATGTAGGGGACGCAGCCAAGGCAATGCGACTCTTCACTTTATGCGAAGACATCTTGGTCCTATAACCCCACATTATTCCTAACATTATTTAAGACATACGCGCGCCCACTCTTGAGGTTCACAATGTCCTCGCACCCCCTCTACTTAAAAAAGAAATACATACAAACGCACAACCAACTGCCAACTGACTAGAATTAGACAGTTGAGTGGCTAGACATCCACCCATTTGACGTTACCGAACACCTGGAACCGTACTGAAACAGTAAGAATCGAGCACAAAGAAATAAATTGGTTTACACCAGCTCGTAAAAAAGATATTGGATATTGGATACTGGGTCCTTGCCGTTTTTTCTAGTTGTGCGTTACCTAACGTTTGATGAAGGACGAAGATGCTCTTGCAGATTTCTTATCACATAAAAAGCGTCTTACACATATATTTTTTCCTGATTCGAAATCAGCCATTGTTTCCCAGTGAGTAAATATGAGTATTCACTTATCCATTTTTGTCAGTGATACGAGCGCTTACGACGAATTTTGGAAATTTTTGCTGAGGTTACAAAAAGTCGTTAGAAAGAATTGTTCTGAAGGTTTGTAGAATTTCAATTGACATTTTTTAAAGGACTTGACGGATGTCTTTTGAGCAAAAAGTCAAAGTTAAACATTCGCACAAGCAATTATCGTTTAGAAGACTATGTTAGACATAGCGATGTTTCAAGTAATAAGATATACTTCAAAGACTCACTTAAAGATCACTCCCATAGATATCTTACTCGCTCAGAGCTTGATTGCTTTCATCTCATTTATGACATGTATCTCGATTTTCTTTTGAAGCGCAAGGTACATTCATCTTTAAATCGTGTCATTTGTAATTTATTTTTTAAAACCGTACTAGTTTTATGACCTTATATATATAAGAACGTTCTGGTATAGCCTATTTTCTAAGGCATATTTTAAAGTGATGCTGATATTTTTACAGTGTATGAAGTAAATACCAGCGTGGTGTCCAGCTGAGACATAATCACCCAAGTTTCCTTGAAAGAGAATAAAAATGTAACATAAGTCATGTCGGCTTCTGTAAAACGGTGGAACATAAGATAATTGAGGAGATTTTGTACGGTTAAAAAGCCCATCATTTCTTTGGCTATATAAAATTGTTTCACTAATTATTTTGCGGTTTAAATTGTCTGAAGCTTGTTTCATATATTTTAGAACAGAAATAGGTTTTGAACAAAGTATGCAACATCTCTGTTTATTTGTTGGGATAGGATATAATTTGGTATCGATTATGATGAATATATGACTACCTAGATTGACAATTAAGACAGTTTTGATGTTAGGTCCTGGTTACTACTGGGAAATCATTTATATCATACAGTAAAGCCAACACTAAAATGTCTCCTTCAAAATTGAAATTATTTAAAGTTAAGGGAGCTATTCTGCTCACTGTTTTTGGTTTAGTCAAATTTCTCGGTCTGATAGAATATGCCTTCATAATATGCATTCTGTCCAACTTAATGGACTAGTACCTAGTACGGGTAGGAAGGATTTGATTGTAACCGATCTGATCTAATGTACTGTCACAGGTATGAGAGTGAATGTCGCTCCCCGGCTTCCCACACCGTGGAAGGGTGTTTCTTGAGGAAATAAAAAAGGAAATCAGATTAGCAACCTGGGAGCGTGACCGCACAGTCCAGAGAACAAATGCTTGAGGCCGATTGCGTACGTCCTTTTTATGGGAAGTTAGTAGATTTTTGCCTCTGCTCTTCAAGTTGCCTTACCACCGGAGACGGAGACGGGGTAAGGTGAGGTCTGACATTTCTTAGGGTCGACCTTTTCTAAACACTTCCTTCCTTGTGAGAAGGCGGCATCGCTGCAGACGTTGGTTGTCCGAGGAAAACACCTTACTGCTGTCACATCTCTCTACAGTCAGTAGTACGACTTCTCCCTCAGACCTTGACTTGCTAATTTTAGTCCTATTGTCTTCCGATCGACTTGCCTGGCATGGTAGGTCCTAAAGAAACATATGTTCCAGCCAATATAGCTCGGTTGGGTTATCACAATAGACTAACCTGATCACCATGTCAAGGCGGCATCTACGGTATGGAGCATTTGGTACAGATGTGTACCTGAAGTTCTCTCTTGTAACTTAGAGAAATCAGGCCGTCTCTCCTGGACTAAGAAATATTCACTCGTACTGTTCCCGGTAACTTCTTGACTGGTCTGAAGCAAACAATATTAGTTCTTGTATAGCTAACATGCAAAGCAAATACATTAATACTTTCCCACCTCATTGTAAGGTCAGTCTGTAATTGCCTTAGTTTAATTTATTTTATCAAGAGACATTGTTTGTGGAACACGAGAATATAAAACAATTATGTGGAGTGATGTCACATACTAATGTGACTAGAATAAAAAGTTTTTCAAACTAAAAATGACTCGTCTTCACTTTGCTAAGTTTTAAACCTTCAATTCTTTTGTTCACTTTTCCTCAGAAAAGGCATTGATGGTTTCACCCTCAATTGTTTGCAAACATTTGAGAGAAATCTCTATTCTTTAATGACGATAGGATTTTATGTAATAAATCTTTTTACATTTTAACTATCTTTTAGTTTGCTCGAATAGTAAAACTTAGGACAGATCAAAGTGTTTTACCGATTGCTTACTTTAGAACAGAATTATTATCCACTTTGTCTAAGCATCAAGTTGTAATAGTTGCTGGTGATACTGGTTGTGGAAAATCAACTCAGGTACCACAGTACTTATATTATGGTGAATCTGATTCAAATGATGCACCTGGGCCTAACTCTTATCAGAATATTGCTGTTACTCAACCTCGCCGTATCGCGTGCATTAGTTTGGCCGCACGTGTAAGTACTGAAATGTTAAATGAAAGAGGCTCTAAGGTTGGATATCAAGTGAGTTGGGACGAAATTTTTAAAAATACTTTCTAGTTCTTATAAAACTTTAAATTTTAGCAGATAAGACTTATCCTTTATTGTCGCAAGACTGTTTTGAAGGTATACGTTCTACTTTCAGGTGATTGTAAATATGCACACTGGGATCCAGGTACATTCACCTAAAATACACTATGCAAGAGGGATTAATAATCTGCATTCCGACTTCATCCATAATCCAAATATTCTAGAGCTTGTAACTTAGTGGTAATATCGAGGCGTCGTCTAAAAATGGATATAGACCAACAAAGACTGATCAAAATTTAATGTCCCGTATCAATAACGGTCAGACAAACACTTACGAATAAGTTGTAAAGATTTTTCTATTCAATGTTTTGTTGTTGCATTCTGACCAATTGAAGATTTTGATAAATTTTAAAAGATTAGTTTTTGGGTTTTAACTTTTCTTACTTCTTTTAAATAATATTAATTGTAGTGCATGCTTCATTTAAGTATGATATATGGATAAAAACTAATATAGACTGCTCTCTACGTGCAATTCCTATTAAAAATTCCGATGTAGTTATATCTCATCCATTAAATAATCTGATATTAAAAATAGCATACTTTACAAATTTCCATGTTAGTCACCAACAAAATAATATCATAACTTAGAGATGATATTTTGATGTATTTATGAGGAATCTGATCGTGTTGAAAACCTAAGAATAAGAAAAGCGGTTGCTGATAACTTAGGTTGTTATCGTTTTTTAAAGTGGAAGAAAATTTACTTTAATCTTACTGTATAAATGTATGAATGTATTCTATCAAGAAAAACATATTTTTTTGGATATTTTATTAGGTCCGTTTTGAACGTAGTCGTACTAAAGCTACACGGATTCTTTTTCTCACTGAAGGCCTGTTGTTACGTCAAATGCAGGTAGATCCATTTCTGAACGACTATGATGTTATCGTTCTTGACGAAGTAAGCAACATTATATGCTTAAATATGAAATGTGTTCATGTAATACTTTGAATAGATTTATTATAAAACTGAAGAGAAACTAGTAGAATCGTGTAATTTCAAAAGGAAATTTGTGTTGCGCTAGAGAAATTCATGCATGGAGTCCATTTTTCGAAGTATAATAGATTTCTCATCTAGTAACCAACTTGCCAATACATGAAACATTCAAATATTATTCATTTTATTTATTTAAACATATAAACACGTACAAGGCAGCGCCGAAAATTGTGTACACCATAATGGAAATGAGATTGTGAATAAATAGGGAAAAGGTGATTATAATAAAGAAAAGCACAAAAATGAATAGAAACTAGTGTTTGGGAGTAATAGTAATACAAATAATTGGTAGTAGTATATAAGCCAGGTCATATAAGTACATTTCGACAGGGAGAGCGAACCCTCTCTACCCTTAGCCGTACCAGGGCTTTTAGAGGTATATTATTTAACTGCGAGTTATTTAATTTAAATCCTAACACTCAGCTAATGAACAGATAACATGATTATTACACATAAGTTAACCAATTAGAATTCACTTATTTCGAAATTCCTTGTGGAAATATTTGAACTATCTGATAAAAAGCTAATAAAGCACGAATTTTACGTAGCTATGGATTTCCATTGATTATCTCTAAACAGTTGTATATCATTTAACCTCTTAAAATCCACTCTTTGATGGATGAAGTGCTTTCGAACACAATTTCCCTCACCATTTAGTTACCTCTTAAAATAGTAATATCTTGTCAGCAACAATTCTATTTCTTTTTATTAAATATAAAATAAATCTCTTTTTAATCAAAAGCCTTTGGAAACAAACAAGCATGTTTTAGAAGCCGAAATCAGGCGGACGAAATTTGACGAATTCATCGGAATAGTCATGTACACACTAATTTACTAGGGTTTTAGACACGCTTATTTTATGACCGCAAAGTACGCTTTTTTGTACAAACTGGAGTAAATGGAGATGACTCAAGAACGGGAAGCTAAGTTCTTGGACATCCAGTTACAGTTTCACAATAATTCAGTTACAGATTGAAAACTTCTTAACAATTAATATTTTGCTCATTAGTGTATTCAAAGTACATGTTTTCAAAAACATCATTAAATCCTTGCTCTTAAACTACTACTTCTGGAATTCTAAATAATTGTCAAATAGTATGATCTATTTTGTAGACACTACTCTTTCACGAATTTATAGTGGTTGGCGATTAAGGAGATTCTGTAGATTCCAGTAGACTTGTAAAATATTATGGTTTGAATATTTTAAAAATCGACAGAATTATCCAAATAAACTCAGTTTTAGGCATTTATTTATCAGAAGCTTAACCAGAAGTTCAGACCTTTAATAACGAAGTTTATGAATGAATTCCTAAATTCAAACAATCAATGCAGTTCATTTGTATTGGCTGTTTAAATCTTTCTATTGATATGTAGAACTGCAATTGATCAATCTGATGTATGTGCACTGCTAGCCACTATCCAAATCAGAGTAGTTTTTAAGATACTTAATTGTAGTGAGAATATTAAAATCTGATGTTGTTACTATTAAATCAGTAATTTCTTGGATTTCAATGAAAGCTTTGCCACAAATTTCTTCAGCTTATCAGGTTTCATCATTATTTCGCAAATCTCAACATAGATGTTTTATGAAGAAGTGTTCGCGATTTGTTAGTAAAATCTTAATAAAACGACTATAGCGTTTAGTCAATAAAGGTTATAGGACAACACGACATATTCGACGCGCACAAGAACACATTATCTCCCTAGACTGATTAGCGAACTGGTGCCAGAATATAGTTCAACTAATCAGCGAAATCCAGTGTTTTCTTTGGTAAAACAACCATGAAGTAATGTAATTTTGAAACATAAGTGATTGTAGGATACATATTTCTTGAGGTTACTCACTAGCCGATAGGATTAAGAACTAGCTGTTGGGTTTGACATTTGCCCATCATATAGAAATGATTGTTTCTTAATGTAATAGTGTAGTAACAGCATCAGTTCATAGTGGCGTTCCTCTTGAGTGAGGTTGGTATTATTTTTACTATGAATGTGATGATAGTTGTTCTGCCCCAGACATGGTAATAAAGAAACCGAAAAATTGTGTTTTATTGAGTTAGCTTTCTTTCTTTGTCGTTTTCTATTTCTCCTCATTTAGCGATTTTTTTAACAATATTCGATAATTTGTGAATTATTTCAAAGTATTTTTAACCTAAACAACTATCTTAATATCGAAAGTTGTCAGTATCAGGTTGTGGAGACCTTTGAGCTTCATCGAAATCATTAAATTATTAATGTTAGACCACCATCGGAAACCTGGAAGCATTGGACAGCCATTTCGTCCTAGTACGAGACTCACTGGTAGTGTGCACACACAATCGTGCGAACAGGAATCAACTAGGAAGCTTCACTCTTGCGCGCGAACACTTAATCTCTAGATCACTGAGCCAACATCTAACGGTGTTAATGTCTAACTTTAATCAGTTCGAGGTAACGAGCAACCTCCCGTGGGCGGGGTCGTGGATGAGCACTGCTGATGAGTCCCATAATAGGACGGAACTTATGTGTGTATGTACGAAGTTCTAGATTGTAAATGACTGATTGACTGACGGAACGCCTGTCCAATGCTTCCAGCTTTCCAATCAATCAAACTCAACAATCTCCATAACTCTATAATGGAAATATATTAATCACGTAGTGCTCAACGATCTCAAGGGTAAGAGTTCGTGAATGAGACTTAAAGCTCTGGGTTCGTCGATGTACAGTCCTGAATTGTCTGATGCTAAGACGAAACAGCCATCTAGTACTCATGGTTTTTGTGGTTATTCAACTATAATCAGTCGGTGATGTTAACAATCAAACACAATTATTTTAGCTTTTGTGAGTGCATAGCATTGATTTGCGCTGTTTCGTATATACTGCTCAAGTAAAACACCCATTTCACATGTTTCCGAATTACTTTTAGTGGATTATTACATATGAACACTGTTTAGCATAAGTTTTTTTTAACTTTTTCTAAAATGACCTTTCAAATTTACAAGTTATACATTTTGGACGTATTTAAACTGTAGTCAATCTAAAAGTTCATTACTTAAAAACATAATATCTACTTCATTCCAAACTTACCAATGAATTTTTCGTTTTGGTCATTATCACACAATAATTATAGGTTGAAAACTGTAGAGTCTGGTGACGAAATTATTGAAAATAATTATTCTCCTACATACTACTTGTTTCTATTTAAATAACAATTTGATAATGAAAAAATTTTACCGTTAATTCATATGCCTCTTTGGAAGTGTTCATAAACAAGAGGGAAAAATTTTATACTGTGTTGTTTTACGATCCATCCATTTATTTACATATTTACGTCGTTCAAATCAGCAAGATTTGATTTTGTAGTGAAGAAAATTTCAACTTTTTTTTTGTTTTTTTTGATACAATATGAAACTAGTTCAGTATTCGTATCTATCTACTTGAGTCTGGTGTTAAATTTATATTTAATTCTACCGAAAAGTTTCTCTTTTAGATGATAATGTTAACGACTGATTGTTTTTTAATCATCATTTTGGGCTCTTCCTATTCATTGTATAACTTGAAATTTACTTGACAAATCTTTGCTTAGTTTAAAAGTTCTCTCTTCTTATTTTCCTGTCAGTCATCTGATAACAAAAAGGATTAGAAACTGATTAAAAGATCGACTGACCTTCGTTTTTTACTATCAATATTTCTGTTGGCTTCATATAAGTAATATGGCTAAGTATGACATATATATATATATATATATGACAGCAATAACAATTATACTCAAATACTATTTCTTTTACAGGTACATGAACGTCACTGGCAAACCGATTGTTTATTAGGACTTGTTAAATGTCTAACAGTTGTTCGTCCAAAACTTCGTGTAGTTCTTATGTCAGCTACAATAAATGTGAATACATTTACTAAATTTTTCAATGATTGTCCAATCATACAAGTAATTTGATTTTAAAATTTC